GAGTCAGGTACTAAGCCATCATGGCTACTATCTAACTCTTCTCTCCTGGTTACTAGTGACAAGGATTTATCCCAGTTGGCTGTGTATGAAGACTCTGTTGACAGGTATCCTTTCCTCCGGACTGGGAAACTCTTGGCGCATGCACTGTTGCTTCCAAGTGGCCCTGACATAGGCTAAAAACAAAAAACAGGGAATGTACTGGAAGAACTCTGACTCAGTGAATGAGTGGAAAGGAATGGGCCCTGAGCCGAGCTTTCTAAATAGATAATTCTCTTCTTCATGTAACTCAAAGTGAACATTCTTAACAGTGCAAGGTCCCCAAATGCCTCCATCACTGGGTTACCTGAAGAACTTTTTTCAAACCACAACATTTTCAATAAATCAAGTTCGGTAACGCATGGAAACTCAGGGCAAGAAAAGTAACATCGATGGGTGATACGGACCCCTAGGAACCAGCCCCTCTGAGCTGTTTGCTATTTTTTGTTTGAGGCAGGGCTGGAGGATGGAGGAGAGAGGGGTGTGACAGGTTTTCTCATTTTTCAAGTTCTTCTTTTGCAAAGAAAAAAGTAAAACATTTTCCTAAGACTACATATTAGCATTTTACTAGACACATTCTATGGACATAGCAAACTTGCTGCAAACCTGAATTTCCAAGATTTGTAAGTGGATGAAGGTGAAAACAATCCTGGAATGAACAACGCATCAGCAGGGAAAGAAGTGTCTACTTAAAGACCGCAGATGTAATTGCATCTTTCACTAATTTTACATCTAACTGAAAATGGAACATCTTCGTGATGGAATTTTTACATGAAAAAAATCTGATTTGATTATAATTAAAAAGTCTGATGTAAACAGAAATTTGCGACAAGTTTTAAAAAGAGTAAGGAGGTTCTATTTAACGAAGGTAAATCAAAACGCACCATTAGTGTCTTGGGTTCTGTAGGGAAAGAAGCTGAAACAATGGATCAATTTCAAACTGTTTTGAAAATTTTTTGTAATAGTTTCTTCAGGAAGGGGGCAGTGTCATATCAGAGCAGTGCTGGGAGCAGCAGGATTTGTTCACTGAAGACATATAACAGATTTCGGTGATCACGAGTGCCTCCAGGATTTATTTTTAATGTCCAGAGCCTGGCAGAAGGGCTATTCAATTTTTCTGCTGCTGTAAGAAAAAGACGTGCTGTCTCTGCTGCCAGGTGGACTTTACGTAGGCCTGGGGCTCTGATGAGACTGGCTGGCTGTGGCCAAGCCATAGGGAAGCACACTGTTGCCTCCTGCACCCCACACTGTCTTCCCACACAAGTGTGTGAACCCCAGGAACAAGTTAATTACAGACAGGTGGAAATATCACAGGTGCTTTGAAACATTTAACTGCCAAATAATAAGGGACCCGTTCCTTTGAAAGGTTGTACATTCAAAATGTTTTAGCTACCAGAAATAGTCTGAAGCAGCTCTCCTCAAGTTTCTACATGAACTTTTGTACTACAGTGACTTCTCTAGCAGGTGTACAACTTGGCTTAATTTGTAGTTGCTGGAAACCATCTAAGCAGCCTATCAGACTTTCAGTGCTTGGAGATGAGAGCAGGTGAAATCAACCACAACCCGACACTGCTCCCTGGGGCCCGTGCTCTGCAAAATTCTCAAGGCAGTGGGTGAAAGAACCCAGAGGAATGAGGCTCAGGGCCGCAGGGCAAAGGGCAGGAGGGGCACAGCTGAGATCTGTTCAACATCCGAGTAATACTCCTGCCTTGGCTCCTTAGTAGAAAGATTGCGGAGGGGAGGTCATCTGCTAGTGGTATGTTTAGGGAAAGATAAGAAGGGCCCTTCTCTTCTGAGTGACCTCCCCTGGAAGTGTTTCCTTCTAAGAGTGCTTGAAAAACATGCAGCTTAAACATCAAATGCTAAGCGGTACAGTCATAGGGACCCTCCAGAGCACAGTTGAGAACCAGGAGTCAGGAAGCAAAGGTTCTGGATGTCCAACTGGATGTGACAGCTGCCCAAGAGCTTAACTTTCTCAAGGGCCAGCCCACTCCCTTGTCTCCAGGGCTGGACTCTGGCCAAGTCCAGGGATTCCCACCTCTTGGCAGATCGGAAATCATCAACTATTACCAGGTTGGTTGAGGCACATGGACCAGCACTTTTTCTTGAGTGGGGAGGAGATCCCACGAAGCTAGAACATCTGGAAGTCAGGGTTGTACAGTAACCAACAGGTCCCATGGGCCCCAATGGTCGAGTACCCAGCACAGTACCATCTGCTCACTGTGATAGGTCAAGTCTAGGTGTGCTCAAGACAGAGGTAGGCAAAATAGCTCTGAAGGATTTCCGCTGGACAGAATGGGATGATTCAGTTATCTGGAAATGTCATTTATTTATTTATTTATTTATTTATTTATTTTTTCCTTTTTGTCTTTTTTACTGACCGGTAACAGGATCGCAACCCTCAGTGTCACGCCTGTACCGGGGACCGGCAACGGGATCGCAACCCTCGGCGTTGCGCCCGCACCGCGCTCAGCCTTTGAGTGGGAACCGGTCTCCAAATGGGATCCGAACCCTCGGCGGGAGCGCCGCGGCGCTCCCAAGTGGCGCACTCTCCAGTGCACCACTGGGCCGGCCCTGGAAATGTCATTTTAAAAGAATTACTTAATCTCTGATAATAAACAAAAACTTTTTCTTTTTTTTTTTCCTTTTTGTCTTTTTTCGTGACCGGCAACGGATCGCAACCCTCAGTGTCACACCCATACCGGACCGGGACCGGCAACGGGATCGCAACCCTCGGTGTTGCACCCGCACCATAGTAGTCTCTAATGATTCCTTGTATTTCAGATGGATCAGTTGTAATATCACCTTTTTCATTTCTAATTTTTTTTTTCCTTTTTGTCTTTTTTCGTGACCGGCAACGGATCGCAACCCTCAGTGTCACACCCATACCGGACCGGGACCGGCAACGGGATCGCAACCCTCGGTGTTGCACCCGCACCTCACTCAGCCAGTGAGCGGCCGGTCTGTATGTGGGATCCGAACCCTCGGCCGGAGTGTCGCTGCACTCCCAAGCGGCGCACTGTAGCAGTGCGTCACCGGGCCGGCCCCAACAAAGACTTTTTCTACTGTGCAAATATTCTGAGGTCACAATTAATAACTGACATTACCATTTTCCGTGTGGTCTAGAGGGCACACTGTCTTTCATCTACACCAAATAAATGCTGCCACTGAACCATGAAAGCTGGCACTATTTCTTTCACACAAGCACTCTCATGAGAAAGCCCCACCATCAGTGATAGCACCACCAGCCAGGCAGCTCGAGGGAAGCCCCAACAGCTACTGTGGGATGTGCCATGACCTGGGCTTGGGACTGGAGCAGGCAGAGAACTGCACCCCTGGGTCAGCAGGGACAGAAATCAGGTGTGTGGGCAAGAAACTGCTGGCGTCCTGACCTGCCTAGCGAGGGATGTTCAGTGCTCGGCAGGTGAGCTCCTCTGACACTGGGCAGAGGAGAAGTACATGAGCTGCAGTGCCTCCCGCAGGCCCTGGGAAGTGGGGATTATTGTGCCTGCTGGACAAGCCCTGAGCCACTGAAATGGCACCATTCACTTTATCCAGCCTCACCTTTTCTGCTCTGTGCACCAAGACATGGCCCATTAGCTGGGGCCACCCCCAAGACTAATGGGCACAATTCCTGTTACAAAAGAGAAGCAAGGCCTAGATTCCTCAGCTGCTGGATCTCCATGACAGATCTTACCATCAGAAATGCTGTAAATCAAGAAAAGCAAAGTAAACCCAGTGGATGGCCAACAGGGGAATCCGGAGGTCTAAGGAAGCTGGCAGTTAAATCTGAGTGTTAGGCAGGCAGCAGAGGAAACCAGACAAACGTTTATTTTGCATTTGATTTCACTGGCTAAAATGTCTAAATGCTGTGTCAATCTACTTGCCCCTCTTCAGGGCTCTTCCTCTTAAGTTCATTAACGTGGCTGAGTATGGCTGTATACCACTGCTGATTCCTGGTCGTCCAAGGCCCAGGAGGCTCACTCCCAGATGGGGCCCAGACCACAGCCAACTCAGAAGGGCACGGGTACAGTCTTAGTGGCATCAGACACTGTTTGAGCTGATTCCTGAGATATGTTTCCTGTCTCTCTGGACAGTGAGGGGTCTGTCTGGTAAGTAGCTATTGGCTCAGGGTCATGTGACCACTGCAGAAACACCAGCCCCCCAGTGGTGCAGGCTCCAGCCAGTTCCCTCTCAGCAGCATGTGAGAAAGGGCTCCCTGCCTTTTTGTTGGTTAGTTTTTATTTTTATCAACTCTATCTAGGCTCAAAGGGCTCCAAAATGTCCTTGCCACATCTCAACCTGAAAGAAAGAGCTGATTTTTAAGAGCCAGATTCTTGTTGCATTTGGACAGAACATATTGTCTTTGTATTTCTCTTCAATAGTTGCTCGACCCAGCATCTTTCTGTCTGCTCTATACAATGAAAATACAAACTAAATGAGAATAGAAAAAAATAATTAAAGCATTAAACTGTACAAATACAAATCTGTTCCAAAATATACTTACATTAAATAAAATATGCATTTCAGTAAGAGATCTACAGTGAATAACTCTAGGCATTCTGGGAAGCTTCACAACACCTGGGCAGGGCCAGCATTCGTGGAAGAAGCTAAGAGAATTTGCATCCAATCACAGTTTGTAGCGGATTTCTTATTGCCAATCTGCAAGTTACACTGAATACATCATTAGCATCACTTGTGCATGAAACTGGTTTTGTGTAGGAAAAGGGTAAGCAAGCTCTAGCCTCAATTTTGAGTTCATTACAACTTCTCAAGAATTTCACCAACAGCCTACACAGTACAGTTTCAAAAAAGTAAACATGTTAAGGTAAGCAGACAACTCTTTAGAAGCCCAAACACATTTTCTTGCTGTATTTATGCTGAATTCTCCATCTACAGTGGGCAGTCATGAAGATGGTCTTCTTCAGGACAACATGGTCACAGGACTGGGACAATCCGGTGGGACTGGGAGGGAGCGTGAGGACGGGGGCGAGGAGGGGCTACCTCTTGCTGCTTCATGTTATGGGCCTGTGATCTTCTCCTTCTATCATCTGGCATAACGCTTGATGTAGTCATCCACTTTATTCCGGAAGTCCTCCTGTGCAGTAAGAGGGTCAGAGAGAAAAGAAAGAACAGGAAAAGTGAGTTAATGAGAGCAAAAGGACACTTCAGGGACAAGCCAGATCCACCAAAGCAAGGGCCCCAAGTGGAGAGGTCTGGCCTCTCATCACTGAGGTGGCAGAATGACCAGAAACCTTGCTGAGTCCTAGTACCATTTCTCCATGATTCTGGTGCCTGTGCACAAGACACTGTACCAGATGTCCTTGGGGCGAAGCGGGGGACAAACACAAAATGTCTGAGTAGGAGGAGATCCCTAAGAAAGCACCTTGCCCACTTCCCTTGTTTTGCAGAGGGGGAAAGCACAGCTCAGAAAGTGTGGGCAGGGTCACAGAGTGGGCATGCTGCAGCTGCTGCTCTCAGGAAGGACTTCGTTTCTAAGTCTTTCTTCCCAGGATGACTTCCCTAGACCTTGCTGCCAAATCAACACATGCCCACTCTTCATGGCCCACGTACAGCATCCCCTGCCCGAAGGGTGAGCACTCTGCCCGGAGAGGGGGCGCTGTGCTGTGAAGCCCCTCCTTACATGTCGAGAAGGAGGTGGTCCCCTAGGCTCCTGGCCACCTCAGATGACCAAAGGCAGTATGGGCAGGAAAGCCTTCCTAGATCCGGGCCACTGCAGCCGGTCTGTCCCTGGGCCTGTTCTCCCCAAGGTTAGGGGCAAAATGCCATAGTACTATAAGAGCTGTAAGAATGCTGGGAGCCCTCCACCTCTGCCTCCTATGACACAGCTACTTTGGTCAGTGATGCCCCTGGAGGGTCACACTATTTTGGCCCCATCAATGCCACGCAACTCCCTCTGCACAGGAACTCAGCACTGCTGTCACAGTTCCTCCTGCTCAGCTAAGCTCGCAGTCCCAGAGAACCGGCCTGTTCTATGCTTCTGCTGCACACTCCCCACGCCTGCTGATGTGCAGGGCACTCCTGTGATGCCCTCCACAGGCACCTGCCTTTCTGCTACACGCTTCATTAGCACAGGGACCCTTTCAAGGTCAGGGTGAGGTCCCAGTTTGAAAGCTATGAGACCGTCCAGTGACTTGCTCCTGGTGTCAGGTGAGGAAGTGGAGCTATGATTTCACCCAAGTTGCTCTGCCTGCCAACTCCCCACGCTTGTCTACAGGCCACACGCAAAGGCTCCACCACCGTTGCTCCTGGTGTCAGGTGAGGAAGTGGAGCTATGATTTCACCCAAGTTGCTCTGCCTGCCAGCTCCCCACGCTTGTCTACAGGCCACACGCAAAGGCTCCACCACCGGTCCTTTCCCCCATGACAAAAGTGGGCTGTGCAGAAACCATGACTGGCCTGTCAAATACAAAAATGTTCTCAAGGTCACTTCCATAGTCCCCAGAGCCAGACAGTCCCATCAGCTCACAGGGCCACTGCGAGAGTTCACAGGACATGGATGAGGCCCCGCAGCCTGCCCTGAGGATGAGCGATGTGTCCGTTCCCTCTTTGTGCCTGTGGCCCTGCTCTTCTCCCTCAGGACAAGCCCAAGTGCACAGCCACAGGAATCCCCTACGTTCCGGCCTCTGCTGCCCCAGAGACCACTGGGTGTAGTACCTGGTGATACCCTAGACACTGGAGCCAGACCACCTGGGTTCAAATCTTGGGTCTGCCCCTTACTGGCTATGTAATCATGGCAAATCTCTTAACCTCCTGGTGGCTGTCTCCTCAGCAGCAATGCAGGGCTAACCACAGCACCTCCACGAGAGCTGTCATGAGAAACAAAGCATTCTGTGTAAGGTGCTTGGGGCAGTGCCTGGCACCTGGCCCCGGCCACCCCTGCCTGCTGTCCTCCTGCTCCAGTCACACCGGCCTCATTACTCTCCTGAGCTCCCCAAGCGTGTTCCTGTCCCAGGGCCTCTGTGCTGTTGTTGCCGCCCTCTGGGATACGCTTCCCCCCACCATATACCCCCTCATCCCCTCCCTACCACATGATATGTCTGTTCATCTGTGCTCCATCTCCTCCCACTAGTTTATGCTCTGTGGGGACAGGGACAGTCGTTTCCACAGTGATTCCTAGCACTCGGCCCCTCCCCTGGCACATGGGTGGCCATCAGTCAACCTTGTGGTGAATGAATAAATATAAAATATTCAATAACTGCTCATTACTCAGCACGAAGATGTGGGTGGGGCTGGGGCACTTAGAATCCATGTGGCAGCATCAGTGATTGGAGGATTTGGGTTCCATTTTACTGCGGTTAAAAAGTTTATCAATTGTATAGGAGTCCCCTTATTTCTCACAAGAAAGATGAAATGAGATACACTTTAACAAAACCTTTCTCTGCCTGGATCTGCAGGAGTGTCCCCCATTATCACCACTTTCTAAGTCCATAAGGGCTGAGCAGGGACGTCCTCGCCACCACCAATGACAGCAGAGAGGAGTAACAAAAGGGATGGAGACTCCTAGAAGCTGGGGCAGAGAAACACGTCTGCCCAGGGCTTGTCAGTGCAGTACAACAACCCAGGCCTCGCAAGACAACACAAACCGCCAGGACCAGGCAGGCTGAGCCAGACAACGGGCACTGAGAGAACAAAGCTGAGGTGCAGCCCACAGCCAGGGCCGCCTCACGCTGCGGCCACTTCTGAGGAGCTCTGCAGCCCCAGCCCTGAGCAGCGCAGGGCCCCTGAGGACAACGCCAGCCTCACTGAGGGCCGCTCTGTGCACCACGCATCCTGAGCAGGATGCATGCTGGGTGGCGCTTCTCTTGTCTCCCTGGCGGGGCACTCACACCCTCTCTCAGGGCCTCGGTCAGGCCGTACCACCTGCTCTGAACTCAGATGAAGACCCCATACAGTCTCTGGTGCACAGTAGGTCTTACAGAAACAGAGGCCATTGCTCTTAATGTTTAGCACGATGTTTAGAACCAACTCAATGGCTTTTAGAATCCTCTGTGTTCAGAGCAACGCCAGCCAAGCCACCAGTGTGAGGGGGCCAACCACTGGCAGGGGTGAGGATGCCAAAAGGAATCTGGTTCAGAAAACAAAACTCGAAGTCCTATCACCAAATCCAGTCACAGCACTGCAGCACCAAATGCTCAGTCCCAGCCCCACGGGGACTGTCCACACAGACTCTGGCTCAGAGCACTGTGACACTGGTCCCTGCATACATGCAAGGCCCCGCCTGACAGTGCTTCCCTCCCTCGGGACTTTTAATGCCTCCTTTCATCAGACAGTAAAAACAGCAGATCTGTGGTCGCTTTGCTGCCTTGCTACCCAAGCACAGTCCACAGTCAGCGACTGTTAATTCCATCGGCTTGTGTTTTTACACACTTTCCTTCCTAATGAATTTTGATATTTTGTTTCTAGGTAAGTAGTCTTCTTAAGCAAGTGTTTTGCTGGAAACACCTCAAACCTATTTGTAAGTATGCAAGACAGAAGTGCAGTCTAGCAGAGACTGCAGTCAATCTGCCAGACCTACACCCTTGGTATTTGCAAAAGTGACTGACCAAAGGCTCATATCCCCCAAAGACAAAGACCTCCTAAAATTCAAAGAAAATCAAAATAATCTAATACAAGAATGGCTCAAAAATAAGGAAGTCAGAGATGCAAATAGCTACTACACATTTATATAAAAAGACAGCCAACCTTGCTAGAAGTTCAGGAAGTAGTGTCCACCTCCCTAGTGTACACCCAGTGTGGGGCACTCAGGGAAACAGGTGTCTGCCTACACTACTGCCGGGCATAGGCGCCGCCACAGCCCCGAGGCAAAATGGTCTGGCAAAAGCTATTCACATTCAGGACACATGCAATCTTCGACCCAGTAACCCCAGTTCTAAAACTCTCCTCTGTCAGAATAAAAGCACCAGTATTTAAGGATGTGTGTACAAGGGATGTTTATTGCATTATTGTTTGCAGCTGGAAAAAAAGTCCCATGGAAACAAACCTGAATGCCTGCCAAGAAGAGAATGGTTAAAGAAAGCATGGTAGAGCCACTCTACGGACTGTAACATAGCTCCTGAACTGAATGAGCGATGGCCTATGCGTTGACTTGGAAGGGAAAAACTTTAAAAAAAAAAAAAAAAAGAAAGAAAAAGGAATTGAAGATTAAGAGCAATGAATAAGATCCCATCATTGTGGGTAAAAATAAAACCAAATGCACATGCATGTACAGGAGCGCAGCAGACGGTGTGAAGGATAAAGGCAGCCTTGCTGGAGGCCTGGGGACGCCAGCCATGGGCCACTCCGTTCTCCTCTGTGGTCCTTTACTGTTCTTAAGGGAAATTACTCATGCTGAATTCTCCTAGGAAATGACATCTAATAAAAACCACTTCTCTCTGACCTTAGGTAGAATACTTTGGCCAAGATCACATACATTCATTATAACACATTACTTATAAACTGCTTTAAATTCTAATCCTGCATTCCACCATTCTCAATTTCTTACTTATCCAATCAACAGAGAGTAATAATTATCTTTTTTACCAAATACATCAACCTAGAATAAGCCTGTTACTGGCTTACCTTGTCCCGCAAATGATGTTCTGCAGCTTCAATATTCAGTGGATCATCAAAATTCAAAAGATCCTTAAAAAGAGAGAAACTCAAAGTAAACAATGGAAAGAATCTGTGTTGCTACCGTTACAAGTCTTCACTTTATAAGCAGCAACAGAAGTCTCACTAGCAAATGGCAGACCAACTCGGAGAGCTGAAAATCCCACTAAGAACCCAAGTTCTTTTGATGGAAGAGTACTGAATCTGGGTCTTTTTCATAACTGTGATTGAGAGTTGACTTACCAACATGATAGTCAGGGATATGATTACACACAAGTGTAATTGTCCAAAGTTTGGTGAAAATGGAGGAAATAGCAATTAATTGCATTAATTCCTAATGCCAATTTTGATAACTGTAAATGAAAACCACTCTTGTTATAGGCATCTCCAAATAGAAATTCCATTCTTCATAAAAACTCATTTTCCTCTTTAAATGTATTTTGTGATTAGCAACTCTGCCTCTGTGGTTCTACAGTTTCTAGTTGGACCCTAACTGGATTTTCCCTGAATCTCCTGCCTCACTTTCACAAGCGTCCTACTCTCAGTCCAGCAGGGGCGGCGTGTCAAACCCGACCACATGCAGGACAGCACTGTCAGCCGGTGTCCCAGCCTCAATCTTAGAAAACCTCAACACGGCTACACCCCTCCTTCCAAGACATACCAGGACTGCAGGCCAGAGGCGGGGTGCTAGCTCCACCCTGCCCACCCTTGTCTTGAAAATCAGGTAGTGACACTTGTTTCCATGGATGAGCCACTGCTTTCCACAGTGTGCCATATGATGGCCCAGTGAAAAGACCACCTTATTGCTCATCAGGAATTTTGTTAAATTTTGGGATTGTCCTCCTCATTTGGAAATAAATGTGGGTGTGACCAATAATGTGTTACAAAGAAAAACTGGAAATCTCTATGACCACCGCAGACGGAAGTTAGACTCCAAGTCCTAGAAACAGGCTAAAATATAAAGTGCTGATTATATTAGATACTGAATGTATATAAAGACTATATCAGACACACAAAATTTCTTATTTCCTTTACCCTATGTATGACCTAAAATGAATATATTGGTTGGAATAATCATTACAGACTTAATTAGTAATTTTGACTGGCTATTTAAAATTTGGAAGGTTTGAAGTGCTTTGGAGATGGGGAGCTAATTTGGCTGCGCCAGATTTCTTTAAAAAATAAAAAAAGAAAGTTTCAAGGAGCCAATGTTTATTTCCCAAGTCACCAGTCAAAACTTGCTCATGGCTGAGGAACCTGGGCACATGATGGGTGCTAGAAAGGATCCACCACGGTGGCAGATGCCAACAACGCACCTGTCCTCTGTGGCTCACTTGATCAAAACTGGACACGCAAAGGCTTGACTTCACCAGGAATCACAGCCACTAAGGCAGACCTTAAATCAGGCAAAGGCTTGACTTCACCAGGAATCACAGCCACTAAGGCAGACCTTAAATCATGCTTAGCCTTCACGGCTCCAGAAGTGAAACTTCATTCACTTCAATGAAAAAGCCCAAAAGCAAACCATGACAAAATGACTGAAACCAGCAGAAAACTGTCTAGAGGGCTTAAGTCCAGGTTGCTCCCCTCAGGTGACAGCTCCTGTGGAGATGCAGGAGGTCCTGAAACACCCCAAGTGTGTGGCTGCTTTGCTTGTGTTCCAGATGTCCACTCAGTAACGCCATATGAGGAGGCACAAGGTAGGACTCACAGTTCAGTGTGAGGCTCAGCTATTGTTTCTTTTGCTGAAGATAAAATCAAGAATCCTGTGCCCTCAGACAACAGGAGAAGGAGCAGACTCGCCGCGGTGTGAATGAGCTGTGCAGGTACACCTGCTGTAGGCACACCCAGTGTCACGAGCCACTCCTTAAACAGCCCAACCGTCCTTGGCAGACGATCCAAGATGGGCTCATTGTCATGGAGGAAGCTTAGGTTTTACCAAAAGTAGCACTTTTTATTTCCTCAGAGACAGATCCCTGAATTTCATCTTTTAAAAAGTTCTTTCATAAATCAAAAAGTAAAGACTTAAAGGAACAGGTAATTTTATGTAAAAATCCAAATAACAGCTTTCAATGGTGTCCTCTAGCCTCCCCTGCCCTAGAGCCACTGTTCAAGATGGGCTGTTTTCTGAAAACAGCCAACTTCAGCAGCTCGTCACTGATAATGAGAGAACAACTCTAAGGTTCTGGGTTTGTGAAAAGCCTCAAGGCTGGATGACCACGTAATCATCCATCCAAACCAGGACTCCTGGCGGGCTGGTGAGGCCACAGGTGCAGACGGGGGCTGGCCAGGCCAGTCTCTGAAGGGCTAACACAAATGGAACAAGCATTGTCCCCAGAAGGTGGAGGCAGCCACTCCAGCAGGGCAGAAGTGGGGCTGCTCTGCCCCACCCCACAACTTGTCACTCCAAAGCTGCCTCAGTCCCCATCTCACTGTTCTACTTCTGACTTTCAAAAGTGCAACAGAAAAGAGGGTAAGTATGTGCACAGTGTGTTTTTAATCCCCTTTTGTTTTTCTTTAGGTGACGTTTAAAACCAGTAGTCAAGGGAATCAAGGAAAACTTGGGATTTTGATCAATATACTTACAGTAAATAAAGAATTTAATCCCCAAACAACATCCTGAAATAAGAAAGAAAACAGAAAACAAGTTTCAGGCTTCTATGCACTTAAAGTCTTTTAAACCCAAAACAAGAAACATGCATTGTTCTGTATCAAAACCTGCCTCCAGCACATGGTGTTTTTCTCAACACAGAAAATTAAAATGACCTCTCTTCAAGCATAATAACAAACTCGGAATTTCAAAGAGATGAGCAGTCACAGGTAGTGAATATAAAATCAAAGAGAACCTCAATTGCCCCGGTGACACCCAGGGCCTGATGAGCCCAGTCCTGTGCATGACCGAGCCCACAGGCAAGCACTTGCACAGGGAGCTCCACCTTAAGTCACCTCTTAACCTGTCATTACCAAATACAGCTCAGACTTCTGAAAAGTCACCTTTACAATAAACTCTGTTGTTTTTAACTTCCGCCTCTTGGGCACTGTAGATGAGCTAGTTACCCACTGTGCAACTGAGTCCTCTTAATAATTTACTTGAAGAATCAATGGAGACCAACATTTCAAGGATTTTCACTAAAATAACAATGAAAACAAATGTTCTACCTGTACTGACTCAGAAGCTGTGACTCAATCACTAATCTTCTCTCCACAACCCCCTTGTCACCTCAGGAGTCTGGTCCTCTTTAGGTCTGTTCTCATGCTCCTGCCACACTCACAGCTAGTGGTACTTCTATTTGCCCTTCTCTGTTTTCTCCCACCCAGCCCTGACCTCCTGGTGTGCGCCAGCCTCAGTCAGGAGCCGGGGGTGAGGACAAGCTTTCGGTCTGGTGGAGGGGGTCAGACAGACACCAGGTGAGCAGGCTAGTGCCTTCCACAGAGGAAATGGCAGCCACCTGAGGGATCTGCAGGAAGAGAGAGCACCTGCGAGGTAGAGGGACAGCCTGTGCCGAGGCTGAGACCTGAGAGGGCAGGACATGTCCAGGGCATGGCGAGAAGCTGGAGAGAAGGCCAGGTGGCAGAGATCACAGCTCAGGAGGAGCTGTGTCATGACTGCACGAAGCCTGCATGTTCCCTGATGCTAGAACAGGGCCCAAAACTCCCTTCCTGCGCTATTCTCCCAAGGTCTCTATTTGGTGACAGGTACCCAATACCTGACAGTCCTTTCTGGCCACTGGGAACAATCTATAGGCCACAGTTTGCAGCTCTATTCTGCACTTAGCGGCCAGAGGGCTCCAGGCATCCCTGCTGAGTGAGTGATTACTATGAGGTTTTCTACAGTGGAGACAGTCTGGCTCTGAAGCCTGCAGTTTGGGCTCCTGTCTCTGGTTCTTGAATGGTGCCTGGCACTGGCCGACAAGGACACTCATCCAACCAGAACTGGCCGGACTCAGTCAGTGATTGCCTGAGCAGCCCAGGCAGCAGGTGGAGGGGTAAGGAGGAAGAAGGGTGTGTCTGGCCACCTGCGTGGATGTGACAAGCAAGGACACGTGCTGTTCTTACAGGAGGCTGGTTACCCGAGGGAGAGGACTGTAGGGGAGGACTGATGCCCAGGAGGCAACAACTCTACCTTTAATGTTCTCGTGGGAGCCCAGCCAGTGCCGTCAATCGAATGTTCTCTCAGTAAACTGAAAAAGACAAACACACAGCTGTTAGCAAAAGCACCACAAGCTGCAGGCACACTACGCACGCTGCCCATGAGTCCTCTTGGCCCACGTTTTGTCTTTCTTTATTTAACTTGACTTTTTCTCTGTGGCATCCCAGTTTTCTTTTTTTTCTTTTAATTTTAATTTTTAACTTATTAATATACACTGTAGTTGATTTTCATGTCCTCTTACCAATTCCTCCTCCCCCCGCCCCTCAGTTTTCTACTGTGCTGAGGAAGGCCTTCTCAACCTCCAAGGTTATACACACACCCGACTATAATGTGTTATGGTATTTTTGTAGTACATGGGGTCTTTAATCCTTGACATGGAGGTTTAAGCAGGAGGAAAGCATGCTTAAAATATACAAAGAACATCTGTCAATTTAATGTGCAGAAAATGACGATGGCAACAGAAATGACAACAGGAGTAACTAAGGCTGAGAGCTCACTATTTTTGTGTGCCAGGCACAACCCTAAGTGCCGCATCATTAAACTCACTTGATGCCTGCAATGACCCAGGAAGGAGGTGCCTTCACTTCTCTGTCTTATAGATGTGCCCAAGGGCACACGCCTCGTGAACTGGTGCACCTTTAAACCTGGGCAGCTCACCTGCAGCCTGCGTTCTGCACCGCTGCCAATGCAGGTTAACAACCATGTGAGCTCCTAGCACAGGACCTTTTAACAGCTGTTTTTTTAAAAAGTTCAAAAAGGAAAACTTAAAGATAAGAGCAGATTAACGCAAAATTCTGGATAGCAGTCCCTCCTTGAGTGGGTGGACCATGCTTAGGGAACGTGCACCTGGGCTTCAGAGGCACGTGCAGTTGTTTCTTAAGCTGGAACTTGAGAGTCATCTCCACCCCTGGTCTACCATGCCTGTGCAAAATGCACGTTATGCACTATCACATAAACGATGACTCCATGCTTTAGAAAATTACAATTTATTGCCAAGCTTCCTTCTGGAGATAAAATTACTTTGGCATTTGTTAAATTATCATGTCGTAGTGTGGCTTTGATCTGTACATAAAAGTCCCCAAGCTAACATGCCAATATCAGGCCTTACAGGACATAATTGTTACCTGTGACAATTTTTTTTGAATTAGAGTATGTTCTAATTCAGACAAGTCAATTTAGATCAGAATATAAATATGTAGAACTTGAATCAAGGCTATAATCTTAATTGTCTATGAAGATCAGTTAGAAAAAATATAAACAATCTTAAATTGACCATTAAAATTTACTTTGAGCCTTAAGGAGAAAAAAGAAAAATCAAAATGAGAGAAAATAAAATGGGTGGACGTCTTTTCACCCTATAGAGGTATAAGTGACTTGTGGACCTGAAACTTCTACAACTTTCGAATAACTTTTTGGGAACCATCTGTCAAATCCTAGTAGCTTTTGTGATCCAATGAGAGATTTTGTTACTAGAATGGGGGAATTACTTCTGATCTAGCTCATCCTTTTCTTTCATAGGCCTTAACACAATCCTTAGTTATACACTTGTTGACCTGTCTAACACCTGTCTCACCCACCAGCCAGCAAGCCCCATAAAAGCAGGGAATACAAACTGCTCTCCACGGTGCCTGGGCTCAAACATTAGCTGACTGAAGGAAGGAAAGAAGTTCAGGTTAATTAGTAGACCTGTCAGCATCCTCCCAGGCTTCACTGTCAACAACACAACCAGGGCAGAAGGGCTTTGCACCCGGAGGTAGGTAACCCAGCATCTGGTGGCCATGGGTCTGGGCAGCCCCTGGACAGCAGTGAGGTCCGCCAGGGGTGCGGTGCCCCTAGTTGCTGTGGAAGTTCTTACCTGGCCTCAGCAGAGAGTAGTCCCAGTGAAAGCTCAGGTGACAGAGACACTCGGCTATCAGAGAAGTTACTAAGCAAGGGGAAAGAGGACACCCTAGGGACTATCCTGGAAGCTTGGACTCCAGGAGAAAATAAGTTAAAGTGCAACCAATGAGCTCCTGACCTTGGGCCCTCCAATCCCACAGACATGAACCTCTGACCATGTGCCAGAAGGGTGAGGGCCCCCGATGGGGCCAGGCAGCCTCGGGAGCGAGACACAGAAAAAGGAGACAGCCAGGGGAAATCTCTTCGAAAGAAGGAAGTGTTCCTGTGCATTACAAATGATAAGTATGCCCCGTGGAGCCACAGGCACCAGTCAGGCCTGCTGTGGGAAGAATCTAATTAGATGCTGCACGGTGACCACCACAAATCAGAGGTATGGTCAGGCTTTCTCCCCATATATGCAGGAGATGCCATGAATCAGCTTGCATTAAGCCACTGCTAGATACCATCTGCTTTTTCACTAACAGGTAGTCCTTGTACATAAATCTAGCACATTATTTCCTTAGATTAAATCCCTATGGGTGTAGCTGACAAGTCCAAGGATAAATACAAGTTAAATGTAGAAAGTATGGCTGAAGGGCCAACAAAAGGTGTACAGAGGTATGCACCCTCCAACGATGAGAGAAAGCCTGCTCTCTGCACGCTCCCTCTCTCTCTGTCTCTCTCTATCTTTCACACACACACACACACACACACACACACACACACACACACACACACACACGTCACGAAGTATCAGACTGGCAGATACAAAAGCAGATAAGTGGCAAGCCGCACCTTGTGGTTTTCCTGCAACTTTCTCTGGTTACCTCCAATGCAACTGAATATATCCTCAGTGTTTACTGCTCACCTGTATTTCTCCTTTTATGAATCATCAATTTGTAGCTGATACTCATTTTTTCCAGAGGAAGTGTCTACCCTTTTCATAATGATTGGTAAGGACTATTTACATACAAAGGATGTTAATCTAGTCGATCCTTTTTATTTCAATTTTGTGTTTTTGTATTTTAAATTTTAATGTGGTCAAATCTTAATATTTTCCTTTCAGGTTTCTGGCTTTTGTATCAGGCTACCATCTGCTAATTCCTGTCATATTTTGCTAACAACCTGATTTCCCAGAAGACAGGAAAAGTGGCAATAATAATTCTCACTCTGGACCCAATTCTGATGAAGGCAGGGGACACAACAGGGAAGCAAAGTATGGGGAGTCCCCCAGAGAGCGAGCCAGGTGTCCTCTGAGCACACCTGGGAGAGGGTAGGGTCTGAGCCAGATGCATCTATAACCTGCAACTGAAGATGGCAGAGTTTTATTGTTTAAGTAGATATTTCAAAGGGAAGATGTCCTTAAAAAAGATGTACTCTTCTAAAATGTACTTTTAACTACAGTCATACATCACTTAATGACAGGGATTTGTTCTAAGAAATGTGCTGTTAGGCAGTTTCACCGCTGTGGGAACCTCACAGAGTGTACTGACACAAACCTAATGGTCTAGCCTCCTCCACCCCGAGGCTATACGGCCGGCCACTGTTGTGTGTACTGTTCATCGTTGACCGAAACACAATGTATAGCACATGACTATATCCATAAAAAATGAGACTGATAGGAAAGAGCTGCACATACAAAAATAAAATGGGAAAATGGGCACTAATTGAACTTTTGAGAAAAAAAGAGGAATCCTGATGTAAGACTTTCTAGCAGTGAGGAGCAGCCAGTTAATATATTTCCTTTCAAAGGTGATGAGTGTTTACAAAGACGGGAAGAAGAGTGAAAGAAAAAAAGATACAGAGGCTGAGCAGCATGAGGACCAACTTAGATCACAGCGTTTCATGTTGAAAGAAAGAAAAATGTGCTAAAGGAACACCGCGTGCCTACTATCCACACTGGGGGCAAGTGTGAGGCACACAGTAGTCAAATAACTTGCCCAGAGCCCCACAACTGCCAGTGGTGGGGCTAGATTCAAATCCCGGTGGCCTGGCACCAGAACCCCTGCAATTAACATCACTGCCTTACTAGACGAAGGGAAAAAACACAGAAAAATAAAGCTCAAACGTTAAATTTACTTTAAAAACAAACCCACATACTTTCTCTAGTTCTCTACCCTAGAGACCAGTAATCTTAGAAGAGGTAAATCACTGATGCTGACACTCTGCCATCAGAAGGATGCGTAACACATGCTACCGCTGACATGAAGCTCCAGGAAGCTGCCCTGCCTCATAAGTGGTCCTGCATGTATCACAACCACCTTCAGAGAGAGGACATCTTAAGCATAACTGCCCCAGGTCTTCTTAAGCCTGCCATCTACATTTTTTCTCCTGGGTTTCTTCAATCATATTTTCCCCTCTCAGCTAAAATCAACCATGTGGAGGGAATGCAGTCTCTCGTTAAAATAGGAGGGGAAGAGGTAAGGGCTGTGGAAGGCACATCCTGCACAGGTAAGCAGGCTGTGCTGAGAACTAGCAGGGCCCTGGCTGCCAGAGGGCAGCGGGCGGGTGCCAGGCTGCAGGCAGACACTAGGCTGGGGGCTAGGAGCTGGCAGATGACTGCAGCTACTTCAATTCAGCCCTGACCTTTTCTAACCTGGGCCAAGCCTCAAAATTTTATCTCAGTGGAGATAACATATTAAAAAGCCCAATGCTGGCACACAGTGCCCACCAATGCAGAAAAAAGGAGAGAAGAGTGGCTCACCTGAGACATATTTCTCCTGTCTCTGTGATGTTGGGGTGCCAGATCTTGGTCAAGCACTTCACTTTGGGAGGCTGCAACACAGAGAAAGAGCAGGGAGACAGATCACAAGGGCAGTCTCTCCAAATCACGCCCCAGCCCAGAGCCTCACCAGATCCCGTCTAGCCACTTCTTTCAGGGCTATGCAGCATGTACCTTGGCTCACCAAGCACGCCTTCAGCCTCGGATACTGGCTCACTTTCCCTGCACAGGAGCATGCTTGCACACTGCACCCACAGGTGCCAGTCTCACCAGAAGAGTCTGCCCGCAAACCTATCGCCGCCGCCCGCCCCCCCCCGCCCCCCGCCCACTACCTTCATGTCCTGCCAGTGCCGGTGCCTGGGCCTCTGCTACTTCCCACACCCCCTCACTTGGCCTGGGCAGGAGTCTGTGCTGGACTCTAGGGAAGAGCTCTGCACCCTCCCAGCCCCCAGCTACAGCCGGGAGCCCACAGCTTCCTGTGCACAAAGTTACTGAACTGCAGTGAAAGTTACTACTCCTGTCAAGAATGGCCCGTTCCCTTTGCTGGATGTTTCTGAAGATGCTATTGTCACATACATTTTCCTAGATGGAAGTCTCAGTCCTCTCTATACATAAAGGAGAGAGGAAGAATGAAAATGAGCACATGGGTGTGGATAAAGGACAGGGGTCTTCAACAAGTTCATGGAAAGATTCCTGCTCTCATTCAATCCCACTTTTCCACAAACTTTCTGAAGTGCCCTCGTATATCAACATCATTTATAACCTGGACTTTTGGAGAAAGTTCTTTTACGATACCTTCCTTATAAAAGCAATCCATATTCAAATGAAAGGAAATATATAAATATATAAATACTCTTTTTCACTTTTATCTTTTATATACGTATATACACACACATCATCATTGTAACTCCACCCAGAAATGATCTGTAGTGACACCTGATGTACATTTTTTGAGCCTCTTTTCTAGGTCACACTACATACGTAGATGTGTGTGCACGCACATCCATTTTTCTTTACAGAAGTGGGAAAATGTGCTCTGTTTTTTCATACTTATTTCTGTCATCATTGCAGATGGCTTTTCCACATTCCATGATGCAAATGCTAGCACTTAACAAGCCGCTTCCCTATCACTGGACACTGAGATCGCTCCCACTTCTATGCAAGTCCCGTTACACCAATGCTCCTACCTTTGCTCATACCCTGTGTGAAATGTTTCCCTGGGATGAAGCCCAAGAAGAGGAACTGCTGGTCAGAAGCCCCGGCTTCTCGCCCCATAGCAAGGCCTCCCTGGCTGATATGCAGTAAGCGTCATCTTACAGCATCTCACCAGAAATGTCGCCTCAGAAGAGGATCAACCATTTGTCAAACAGTAGAAACATTTTCCTTCTTCTCATTTGGTATTAAATTTTATTTATGATATTTTCTGAGGAGTGGAAGGTTTTTGTTAATCTTCGGAACCAAATTTTTATCTTTGATATCATATTCAGGAAATACTCGGATGACATCCAAATACTTTGGATGACAATCCAAATAATCTCCTGTACTTTTCCTAGTACGCTTAGTTTCATCTTCTTATTTGTATAAAGCAAACATACTCCTTCAGCACCCTAATTAGTTTTCTTCCTGATTTCAAAATACTACAAAATCAAGAGACTCCTCCGAAATTATTATACCAATTGTGCAAATGTGTCCCAGGACTGCAGAATTTCAGTTCACATACTATGCTCCGATTTGCTTTTCTGCAAATAAGTGGGAATGCATCTGACAGAAAGGATGTGACCGTACCCTCCATTTCCAACGAGACGTTGAGGCTGAAGAGGGAAGGTCAGACTGTTGCATGGAAGAGGGCTGGTACATCCCCCGGGTAACTGAATGTAGGAACAGTCTAGTGGTTGGACTGAATCACCGACTCTTAGTATTTGAAAGCACTAAAAGAAAGGCAAGCTCAATCTCTCTGCCAAAATGGGTGCCCCATCTGTGGAGTCCCCGACACACACACCTACCCAGCCTGGTGTTTGCTGCATTTCCCAAGTGCTCAGTGGCATTGCCCTTCCTCCTCCTCATCCTTCCACACCTTCTGCAGTTAGATGTTAGCCTGGATGCCTCCTCTGTCACTGGTCTGCATCAGAACTGTGGCCCTGGATTCCAACACACATGCTTTTTCCAAACTGAACCCGTCTTATAGCACCTCCCTGCCTCCAAAGCTAGACAAACAAGAAATGCCCAGCCCCACCTCCCACACCCCCCCTCAGGGCTTGGCATTGCCACCCACCCAGTCACACAGCTAAGAGTGCAATATATGACAAATATCACATTTCAAATCAGCAGGGAAAAGTGAATTCTTCAGTGGGCCACTGGCTAATCATTTGGGAAAATACAGTTAGATCCCCACTTAAGAGTTTTGTTCCAGATGCATTAAAATTAAACATAAGAGGACCATAAGAGGACTGGAAGAAAATGTAGATGATCATCTTGGGGTGTGAAGGTGCACTTTAAGCATTTCATAACATGAAATACCTATGAAGCAAAAGATTTGACTGTAGTAGTGAAACAAAGAAAAAACTTTTATAGAACAGCAAAAGAAGACAAATGCAAAACAAAGAAAATACAGCATAGCTAAGCAAAAAGTTTCATATACTTTATACATGTGAATTCATAAATCTACAAGAAAAATAAAAATCCCAATGTAAATATGGGCAAAGGATATAATAGTGGCTCATAAAATGTATAGTTAGTAGGAAATAATATTTAGCATACTTATTTAAGAAATAAAAATCCAAATGACAATAAGATAAATTTATTTCCTCCCAAAATGGCAAAAAGAAAAAAATAATGAAAACACTGCATCTTGGTGAGTTTAGGAAGAGAATTGTCAAACACTTGTGGTAAGGAAGCCACTGGCACAACTTCTCTGAAGGGTAATTTAATAGTATTTCTCAAGAGCCTTAAAACTGAGCACTGATTACTCAATACCTAAGATGCTCTCCACAGGAAAGAGGTAGATGCACCAGATGTGTGTGCCCAGGCCATCCTCGTGGCCCTGCTTTCTCCAGGGGCAGCACACCACAGCCCACACGCCAGAGCCAGGCCGGGCCTGTTTAGCCAGGTCCAAGATTGGTTTTTACATTTTTAAAAAGTTGTTTTTTTTTTAAAAAAAAGAATACGTGACAGGGACCATATATGGTCCACAAAGTCTAAAATATTTACCACTTGGCCCTTTATAGAAAGTGTGGTTTATATTACCAAGAAAAAAGAAAAGTCAACCAGTGATAAAATACTGGTTTAAAATCATGATATATCATACAATGTAGTACTCTTATTAACGATGTAATCATATATTAATTGGCAATGGGAACATGTGTACAACATATTATAATGTGAAAACTCCCAAGTTACCAGGCAACGTGTAGAGTAACTCCACTGGCATGCAGGACTATATACGAGCATGGTTTGTAACAGACACCCAAAAGTTCTTGGTGATGATCTCTGGGTGGAGAGATTACAGGTAAGTCACATTCTATCTTTGCATAACAATGCTTTCTTAGTTTCCTATGAAGTATAATAAATTATATAAAAAGGAGAGGGGCAAGGAGCTCAGGCATCACTGTGGTTGTCCATCATTAATGCCACTTGCAGTAAGTGTCTCTGGCTCCCCTCCTTTGGGGCACACAGCAGGACTGCCCTTCCTCACCTGCCCTAGGGATGCCCCTGGCCACGTTATTTGATTTGGCCAATGGCAGGTGAGGGGACATGACTCGGGTCACTTCCAACGTGAAACCCAGCTAAGGAGCAAAGAGGTGTGTTCCGTCTCTCCTGCTTCAGCATGCAGTTTCCTCCAACCAGCTCAGGACCAACTCGCTTCAGAGACTGTGCATGGTGGCGAGCTGAGCAGCCTCTGGACTGATGCCCCTCTCCTCCTCCAGGGTGCCCCCAGGGCCCTGTCACGTGCTCCTCCTCTGGGCATCCCTGCCACCCTGAGGAGTCCTCTTTGCATCACTGTCAGTGTCTGCATGGGTCTCCCAGGGGCCTGAAATTCTTAAAAGGCCCCTATGGTCTCATCTTCAGCCCTGCAGTGCCTGACACTGTGGAATCTAGCACAGTGAAGTTCAGTAAAAGTCACTGAATCAATTCTGCATATTTCTAAGACAGAGAGATTACTAGGCAGGCTTCATTCTGGCTGTGAGTAAAGTTCAGGGAAAAAGGGACACAAAAACAAAGAAAATTTGAATTTTGGCTGCTGGGATATAGGGGTATGTGTGTGTGGGAGGGGTACCAAATAGGTATTTTTCTTTTAAAAGTTTTTTTTAAAATAATGATTCACTTTATTGATTAAAAGTTTTTCAGATTCACAATCTTAATAACAGAACTTCATTACAGGAACTGTAACTATTATGGGCTATAAAAAAGTCCCCATGAAATACAGAAATCATATAAAGTCATGGCGGAAGAGCCCCACGAGCCTTCGGGGCTGCTGTGCTGAAAACGGGCGTGTCTCCTGCAGTGAGTCCCGGCTGCGTCCTAGCTGGCTCTCAGAACTGCTACCCCAAATGCCTGTAATCTACATATTATCCTACGCTGGTTTCATTTTTCAATCTCTGTTTTCTATACTAGGAAGTCTGGAGTGGGCAGAGACAGAGTCTAGCCCTGGACGAATCCGCATTTGGGTGTGGTGTGGCAGGCGGGGCTGGGCATTGGAAGCACGGGTACGTGCGACAGGCACACACCCCTCCTTCAGGAGCTTATGCTCTAGCAGGAAAGAGACACTAAAGAGAATCTGTAAGCAAAGATTAATTATAAACATGGAAAACACAACTACTTTCATATTTAACCAAGCACTACTAGACCTGATGGTCTCTGGGAGACTCCTTGCTGTGGACCACAGTGACACACACTGGCCTGTCATTAAGAAGGTTGCCCCACATCCGCCTGGATGAGAGACACAGAGGAAGAAAACGCAGGGAAGGGGATGGAGGGGTAGGCCAGGAGGGGGAGAGGGAAGGATCTCCACAGAAGCAGAAGAACCAGGTCCACCCAAGCCGCCAGCCGCTCTCAGTGCTTCTTGGTTTGAGAACATGGAGTTTATTCCTGATGCAGTGTGACCAGCCCATCATTTAGAAAATTTCCAAAGGAGACAGAAATGAAAATATAAATCATTCTAACAAAGCTAAAGGTCAAACATTGCATGGGGAACTTCAGAATGGCTGCAGGGATGAAGTGTTTCTATTTTCCATGGGGATAGGGAAGGGGAGGGGGGCTGGAGAATGAGAGGGGAGAGAGGGGACAGTAAAACCACTGGGAAAATTCACTTTACCCTCCACCTCAACCTCTGTGATAGCCACCAATTAATAAAGGAAATGAGCCTTTGGGGCTCAGTGGTTTTCTATCTACTATTTATTTCATTTTCTACCTCTCCAATTCTTGAAGTCACAACAGGAGATGGGACAGTATGACAAACATTTTCTCATTATCTGCTATAGGAGGAAGGACACGGGTTTAGAAGCTGGCAGCCCTATTCATGAACAGACTTCAGCAATTCAGCCATCTACATTGGCAGAGCTAATTAGGTAGGTTTTTAACTTCAGCTTTCGGAGCCCTAATTTCTAATATATAAAGGTCTGATTGGTAAGACCACCCAATAAGCCATGCAAATGATGAAAAACGTAAAGTGAGGGAGACAGCTGGCACACAGAAGATCTCAATAAATGCCTGCTCCTTCCTTGATATTTTCTCATTTTGTTTTCTTCCTAAAACGAGAACAAGAAACTCAGCTACTAAACAATGCCTGACATACCTGAAGCAATGGTTCTGAGTCCTCGAGGCTTGTTTGGACAGTTTGTCAGCTTATGCTAAAGTCCTCCCTAAGCTATCCCAAAGGACAGTGTCAACAGCTCACCACCCATTAAACTAATTCTTTCAATCTATGTATGGTTGTTTCCAGAAACTACCAAATAGCACCCCAAATTCTAAATATCTGTACTTACAACAAACCTTTCAAACTACCTCTCACCTGAGGAAGTACACAGGGTCCTATCAGCCAGGTTTCTCAGTTTGTGATTTGGGAAAGATGGAAAGTCTCAGCAAGTAGCTGGGTAGCTGGGTGGGTGGGTGGATGGATGGATGGATGGACAAAGACCTGAAGTGTGTATTTTCCTGTCTTTGTTTAAAAACTAAATTTCTTTTTTTTTTTCTTGTATTGCCAACTCTTCCTCATCCCCATAAATTACATTTCAAGAAGAACTTCTAATGTAGTAGCCCAGTAAATATCAGTTTTCGTAGATAAAGGTTTGGCTTCAAACAAGAAAGTGTTACAGCCACTGAACTGCACCCTGGTGGTTGGGTTGGTGGATGATGACTCCATTTGTCAGGGAGCAGGGAGCATAATCACCTCAAGCAAAGAAACAGGGCACATGGTGTCCCCAATACCCACATCCTCAGGTCAACAAGAGACATCAGTTTTTCATTACATCACCATCAGATTTTTCTTTCTATTTGACAGGCTGAGAGGGTTAGAAAACATCAGGAGAAATACACATATGCTCAAATGTAAGTGAAATAAGTTAGCCGAGCTGGCCATATGCAAAGTGTGTCAGTTCAGACTGAGACATGCCGCACTCTCACTGAGGCATGGCCGTACCTGCTCTAGCGCCCCTAGCACTCTAGCACTCTAACGCAGGGGCGTAGGGAGTAACTCAGGATCCTCGATGGTTTCTCACTGCCAAATTGGAAATGTCCCACAAAACCCCCGAATCTGAGTTTTCTCATTTTCTCCCCGATTATTCCCCAACTCCAATTCTTCGTTCAAGTCGAGCTGGTCCATATGTCTTCCATAGGTTGCAAGTTCTCATTTCTGCACCTATCACTATAGTTCCACAAGTCCCCATGTCACCTCAAACACCCTCCCTGGGTTCTGGGCCAAATCAGGATGACTCAAATCCTATTTCTCCGTAAAAGCTGAACTGGCCTCAACCACTTTCCAAAAGTGATCATTTCTTTTTTTTCTTTGAACTCCCCTAAATTAGTTTCCATCATTTTTCAACACCTCTACTGCAGGCTGCTTACCACTTTTATCACTTTATCAACTTTCTACACTTTATCTCACTTCTCTAGCTGATCTGCAAGTTCCTCAAAAGCAAAGACAGAATGTAATAGTATTTGGTAGAATTGTTACCTAGAAGGGTCTTTGCGGGATTAACACGTAGCTATGGGTATAAATTAACTATAGTTTAAAGCTACAAGTCATTATTCTTCTCTGAAATGCTAAAACACACATTTTACAGACTTCTAGAATTTTGGTGTGATACTACAAACAAAACTACAGTCTTAAATAAAATGCTTTTTCTTCAGTGCCAGACTTTAACAAATAAGATTTACATGAAATACACAGGCAGACTGAATTTCTCTACTAAAAGTTAATATACTGCTGCTGAGTGGCATTAGCCACAGAAACACTAGCAGCTCAGTGCTCGGTCACACACGGGCACGGGTGCTGGCCCTGCGTGGGAGGCGGTCGCCGGCCCCAGGCACCAGCGGAGGACGGACAGGACAGGCTCGAGCGCGGGCTACTCACCACCATGTTGTACGCATCGGGAACTTCAGTTTCAAACTGAAATTTTCCGCCCTGGTAGTAACCCTCATCTATCAAAAAACACAAAACAAAACAAAACAAAGCCTTTATATTTAAAAAAAAAAAAAAAAAAAAAGGAAACAAAGAGCAAACACTACGTTAGGAAATGGCAAATACAGAGAATCAGGAGTTTAAAAACAGGACTGCAGTGTTCCTCGGTTCCTGCACCAAATGCAGCGCACAGGGAACCCTGCCCTGCCCAGCCCAGGGGTGGGCTCCAGGCTGTCATCCTCCTGCAGGCTGTCCCCTCCACCCTCTGGGAGACCAGCTCCTGCTCCGCCCCTTCCCCACGGAGCACCCTGCGCAGCCCGCAGGTCTCACGCCGCATAGTCTAAGCTCTTCTGCATGTGCTCACTGCTGGTCTCCCTGTGAGAACGTCGGGCAGGGAGGCTGACTGTGGCTGGCTGCTGCATCCCCAGGACCCGGCACGTGACGGTAGTCACTCCACACACGTCCGCTGAGCACCTGCCTTCTGCCGGACGGTGGCACAACAGCGACCACAGGCGGAACCGCAGCAACCGGCTGCGGGCGCTCCGGGAGCAGAGGGCGCTCCGCCAGCAGAGGGCGCTCCAGCACGCACGGGCCTTGAGACGCCTCCCAGGAGTCGAGTTCCTTTCAACCATCAGATTTGACAGTCGGCACCCTCTGTAAATTGCAGGTCCCACTTCCCCCAAAATAGGCATCTTCACGAGCAAATCAGCAATGTTAATTAAACCTTGTCGCTTCCCTCAACTTTTTACATAAAATGAACACTTAATAGCAAGTTGTTAGCCTCAAACAAAAAAAAAATTGTATTCCTTCTTTAATTTTGAAAGTGCATCAACAGTTATGTTGTACAGCAGTTAAAAATGGCATTACCTATCCCCTAATATTTCCATTCTCTGCCAATCTGATAGACCAAAAACATTTTGTCTTTTATTTTACATTATCTGATGAATACTACTGAAGCTGAAATTTATTTCGTATCATTGGTCATTTGTATTTTTTCTTGTAAGAACTGAAAGATCAATTGATATTTAACTCTTCTATTATTGAGGTATTCGTTAATTATCAATATAAAAAAGCTCTTAAGAAAATTGGCCTTTGCTTTTTATATTTGCTAGTTTTTCTTAGTCTGCCGTCTGCCTTTTGCTTTTGTTTCTGAACACTAGTTTTCCCTTCTTAAAAAGTCAGTCTTGGGGGCCGGCCCGGTGGCGCACTGGATAGTGCGCCGCTTGGGAAGTGTGGCGGCGCTCCCGCCCGAGGGTTCGGATCCCACATACAGACCGGTTCCCACTCACTGGCTGAGCGAGGCGCGGGAGCAACACTGAGGGTTGCAATCCCGTTGCCGGTCCCCGGTCCGGTACGGGGGCAACACTGAGGGTTGCGATCCGTTGCCGGACACGGAAAAAAGACAAAAAAAAAAAAAAAAGTCAGTCTTGGGCCGGCCCAGTGGCGCACTCGGTAGAGTGTGGCGCTTGCAGCGCTCCCGCCGAGGGTTCGGATCCCATATAGAGACTGGTCCGCTCACTGGTTGAGCGAGGTGCGGGCGCGACACTGAGGGTTGCGATCCCGTTGCCGGTCACAAAAAAAGACAAAAAAAGGAAAAAAAAAAAAAAAAAAGCCAGTCTTTCGTTACAGTTTTTCCCTTTGGTATCATGACTTAAAAAGGCCTTTCCAGCCAAGATTATGTAAACACCCTCCTATACCTTCTTCTAAGAATTTTATGGTTTCATATACTACATTTAATCATTCATCTAGTCTTTACTTTATAATACAGACTAAGGTGGTATTTTTTTCCTAATTGGTTGTTTAACCATCCCTACAGCATTTCTTAGTCTATCCTTCCCCTACTTATTTATCACGTATCTTTCTAATTCTTTAAATACACTTGAATTTGTAACTGATAGTATAAAGTCTTTGGAAAAGATACTTGTTTGGGAAAATTTTTAACTCCAGATATAAGAACTTTTCAAATAAGTGTCATCACACATACAAAACACTTGGAGGTATACGCTTGTTCACCGAAGGCCCTGCAAACATGAGACTCTCATATTCTGATGCTGATCACTGTGGCAAAGAAACTCAGCGTCAGGCTTCTTCACTTTGCAGACCACATGATCCACTCTGTGAACTGTCACCACAGCTTCTGGATGACGCTACTGCACCTGCCCTGTCCTTTTCCTTAGGAATGACTTTTACCCACATGAGACACCATAGTCTATCCTCAAGGCTGTGCTCTGGCCATCCCATCCTGCCATACTGTATTTTTTCTTCAGTTGGCTTTCCATTTCACTGATTATATAGTTTCAAATCTATTGCCTGCTAGTTTTAAAGATGCTATTTGGTCTAAGGTAGTTCTGATTTCATCATATTTCTTCTGTCCCAGTCAAGTTCTTATTTAATAATTATTATAATTATATCTTCTCTTAATTCATTGAAAACCAAGCTGGCTTTTTTCTTTTATGAAACAAATCTCAGGACGATGGTCTGCTTCTTAATCACTACTTCTTTCTCCTTCTTCAAAGCTGAACAGCTTTTCAACCTAATCAATTCTGCTTATGTATTACTGAATTTTCCCAGAAATTCCATAGTCCAACTTAAAAAGCAGCCGGGGAGCAGACTGGACTGAGATGAAACCCCAAAACAGCAATGGCCCAGTTGAAGAGTTCTCTCTGATTCCCCTTCTGCACCTGGCTCAGAGTTTGCACTGCTCAGGGTGCAGAGAGGAGGAAGGCCTGCTCACCTCTGGAGCTGTCAGGGAAAGGCTCATTGAGGGCATTTGTAACCACAGTGCACACCATGGCCCAGCGCACCACATCCAAGTCTGGGATGGGCCAACGCTATGTTACTACCCATGGCTGCTGAGGCTGAACACATTCTGCTTCTCAGATAACTGGGTTTAAGCTACAATAATCAATGTGGTAGAGGAAAGTTCCTGGCACCCAGCTCTCAATGGGCCAGCATGGTCCCCACCTCCACCCCACAATGGAAGGAATTATTACCCTTTCCTCCCCCTGTGATTCAGAGCCCACTCCCTCCTGCCTTCAAGGAAATGTACACCAGTGTCGTCAAAGGAGGTTACAGGTAACCCTGGGAGAACAAAACCTTCCAAGGGGTAAATGGGCACAAACCACTCTGGCAGAACCCACTTCTAGATGGCCAACTTCCACAAGTGCTCTGTTCTAGAAAAAATCTGCTGACAATGCTCTTGAGGCCAAGGAGTCTCACCAGCTCTGCCTTGCCTTCCTTTCCTCCACTCCTTTCACAGCCGTTCTCCCACCTTTAAAACAGGGCCTCCTCTCATCTGTCCTCTTACCATGATGCATGGCCCCCAGGCATAAACGCATCTCCAGGGGACAAATGGACTGGGTGATGTGCAGGTCACACAAAAGCCTCCCTGAGTGGAGGTGTTATGGCAGGGTTGTGTATTTCCCTATCGTATGCCCGCTTCTGTAGAGAGCAAAGCCATGGCATTATAAGTAAGATATCCTCCTACCCATGGTGCAAACATTGTGGAGTCCTGTGTCAGGGATGATTGAAACCTCATGTAGTTTCTTCAGTCCCTAGACCGCTGCAAAAGAAAGCACTGCCCCCCATGAGAAGCAAGCAAAGGGGGTGCCAGGAAGCAGAAGCCATGGTGTCTTCTTCCACCCAGGTGACGGGCTCCGTGCCTCACCTACTATACCCAGAAGTGAGAAGCCTGTCAGAGGCATATTAGTAGAAACTAAAAGTGAAGATTTTGCTCAAAAGTGAGTCTGATTTGGCTGACTGGTTTGACAACTAATATTATGGCAGATATTTCTGACAAATAAAATGAGCTGAATCTGTAGCTCCAAGCTTTAGATGAAAATATAAAGAATGTGATAAGGTTTTTAAAATATTATATTGGTAAGAATATGTGGAAATTAATAATATTGTAATTTTCTCAACTCTGCATATTTCAGGTAAAACAAGATGCTCTGAGGTGAAGAGTGACAGGTGTGACTAACGGTCAGTGGACAGGAGTCAGGAAAGTGGTTTTGGCACATGCCTCAGAAACTATGAAGTGAAGGAACTCTAATGACTGGGTGACAAAGCCTCTTACAAATCAGGCAGTTTCCAAGACTCGAAATGACATAGTACCTCTTCCATGTGTGTCTACTTACTTATGTGAACAAGCAGTTCTCAGTGTTTGCATCTATAACGACAAAATGAAAGAAGAAAACTGGTGTTGAACCCTTCCTTCAAGCATAAAGTAATATTCATTCACAAATATGTCAAAACTGAGACAGGGAAAATGCTAATAGTAACTCCGTCATCATTCACAGAGATACAATGTAGATGAAATGTTATTTTATGTTTAATAATCACCTAAATTTGCCATATATTATTTAAATTCATTATTCATTCAACAAATATTTGATGGGTGCCTACTATATGCCAGACACTGTTCTAGGCATTGGTGACACATCAATCAGAGACAATTCCTGCCCTTATGAAGGTTACATTCTAGTGAAAGGAAGACAAAATAAGTAAACTATAAACTGGAAGGTGAAAGAGCCAAAGGAGTAGGAAGTGGGAGGGGCTGCAATTTCAAACAGGGTGGTCGGAGAGAGCGAAGACTTGGAGAAGGAGGGTGTCAGGGTGAAGAACACTCCAGGCAGGGGAAGCAGGGTGAGGCCAGCGAAAGGCCTGGTGTGTCCTCTGACCATGGCAGAAGCTGGGGTGGCCAGACAGCAAGGTTGGGGAAAAGAGAAGCTAATGTCCAAGAGGTGGCAGGCACAGATTGTCCTGACTTGCAGGCCCCTATAAGTCCACTGGCTCTGAATCACAGTGAGATGGAAACCCATGAGAGGGGTCTGAGCAAAGGAGGGACAGGATCACACTGACAGATGACAAGGCAGGAGGACACTTGGGGGTACTGGTTGATATCCAGCTGAGAGATTATGATGGTTCAGACCAGGGTGGGAGCAGCTGGACTGGATATACTTTGAAGGTAGCAACACGAGGATTTGCTGAGAGATTAGGCGTGGAGTCGGGGAAAGAAAGG